GGAGGAGGAGGAGGAGGAGGAGGAGGAGGAGGAGGAGGATCGGATCGGCTCTATCGCGGTGCGAATGAAAGGAGGACACAACTCTCTACCCAGACCTCCACGGCGACCAGGAGCACAAGGTAGCGCTCCGCGAGCACCAGGTAGAAGAAGAAGTGTCACTGCTGCTGACAGTCGGGAGGCTTGTCAGCGGTCGAAGCGACACTGGGACTGGGACCCGCTGCCGCCGCCGCCGAACGTGTGGCTTCCCCGAGCTGCCCCAGCAGATCACTGATGCTGCAATCGCCGCTCGGCCGCGCCGAACGATCTCCTGCAGCCGATATCGTCATTCTCAAGGGCCTGGTCGCTGTCTGTGGCCCCACCCCCCTTAGGGCGTCGGCGTCCCTCAGGAGCCTCGCCCGCTCCTCGCTGGCCTCCCACCGCTGGATAACGGCCTTCTCGCACGTATTGACTACCGCACTGATGCTGATCGTGTCGGGCTCACTCTCCGCCAGCGCCGGCCCGCGACTGCAGCTGCTAGAGTAGTGACTAGGAAGAAAGGGCCCAAGCTTCGGCGTCCTGGTCTCGCCCGTACCGATCGCAACACTGCAGCTGTCCACATAGGGCTGTAAACTAGAAAGGAGGCTGGGGATAACGGGCTCTACCTTCGCCTTCCTTTTCTGGCACGACCTGATCGCAGCGCTGTAGCTGATCATGTTGGGATCCGTCTTCGTCTCCAACTTATCGCACACGCTGTTTTCAGAATTGTGGCTAGAGAAGATGGCGGGCTCCAGCTTCGCCTTCCCCTTCTCACAGGCCTCTGAGTTGTGGCTAAGTGACGTGTCGGGCTCTAACGTCGCCCCCCACTTCTCGCAGGCGCTGTTCCAAGTGGTAGGGCTAGCGACGATAGTGGGCTCTACCTTCGCCTCCCCTTCATCGCACTTCTCCCTGGGCTTCTGTTGCGCCCTCCCCTTCTCACATGCCCTGATCTCAGCGCTGTAGCTGATGGTGTCGGGCTCTTCCTTCGCCTTCCACCTCTCGCACGCGCTGGTCCCCGTGCTGTGGCCAGTAATAGGGATAACTGGCTCTAACTTCGCCTTCCCCTTCGCGCTCGTCCTGATCGCAGCGCTGTAGCTGATCCTGTTGGGCTCTGCCTTCACCTCCCACAACTCGCACATACTGTTCACAGAACTGTGGCTAATGATGGTAGGCTCCAGCTTCGCCTGGCACACTCCCATCGCCTCCTGAGCCTCACACGCCCTGATTGCAGTACTGTAGCAGGTCATGTCGGGCTCTAACATCGCCTCCAACTTCTCGCGCGCGCTGTTCTCAGAGCTGTGGCTAGGAGGGATAACGGGCTCCAACTTCGCCTTCCTTTTCCCGCATGCCCTGATCTCGGCGCTGCAGCATATGGTGTCGGGCTCTGCCTTCGCCTCCCGCTTCTCGCAAGCGTCCTCGCCGCCTGCGAGTCGCCAGCCGGCCGCCAAACCCTCCTTGAAGGCGTCGGCAGGATCGGGAAGCACTGCCCAGCAGCCGGGGGCGTAGCCGACCGCGGGCGAGTCCAGCAGGTGCAAGACCTCCGCGCCCTGCTGCTGAGCCCGCCGCGCGGCCGTCCGCCACAGCCGCGCCCGCCGCCGCGCGGCGCGCGCCACCGGTGTCGCCCTTACCGAGGGCGGGGCGGCGGTGGCGTCCTCACACATGTGTCGCGGGCGACTCGGGTGGCACAGCGCCGTGCGCAGGCCGCTCTCGAGTCACCACGCGTGGGCAAGATGAGAGAAGTCGCCCCGCGGGGCTGGGGTCGTGGTCTGTCGGGCCGCTAGCCCAAAATGGGGCGCCTCGGACCACAACACCTAGGAGGCGGGGGGAGGAGGAGGAGGAGGCGGAGGAGGAGGAGGAGGCGGAGGAGGAGGAGCAGGAGGAGGAGGAGAAGGAGGAGGAGGAGGAGGAGAGGAGAGAGGGGGAGGCGGAGGAGAGGACGGGAGGGAAGGAGGAGGAGGAGGAAGGAGGAGGTAGGAGGAAGAAGGAGGAGGAGGAGGAGAGAGGACGAGGAGGAGGAGGAGGAGGAGGAGGAGAAGACTGTAGACAGGAAAAAGACGATGTCTTCCCAATAAGCGGACCAGGGAACGGTGAGAAGACCACGTCGGCAGCGACTCGCTGCCCGCACAAGACGGCTCGGTGCGCAGGGTGGCAAGGTCCCCTGAAGCCCTTACCGTTATTTCAGGTTCCTTGGCCAGGAAAACCATTATCAACCCTGCCGAATCGAGCGACAAGCCCAGGGCGGGTGGACACAAGGTCCTATGGGGTTCACGGGCCGCACGACCCCACCTCCCGACCAAATCCGCAATCCCCGTGCCTGGTACCCACCTCCAGACCACGGGAGCAGCTAAGGCGCCACATGCGGACAAGCAAACTGCTTGCCGCTGGTTCCGAAAATTGGACCCGGTTGCTTCTCTCCTTGCCTGCTGCAGCGGGCAACCCTGATCGTGTGCCCTGTACGTGAAGACTGAGTACCAAGATACGGTACCCAGTGCCCACGCGTAGGGCGGAGGAGGAGAAGGAGCACGGAGGGAACGGGAGGGAGAGAGGGGAAGCCAGGAGGGCGGGGGTAGGAGAACGGAGGGGGGCCCCGTCCGCCAGGAGGGATGACGGAGCAAGGCGTGGAGGAGGACGGGGAGCACGGAGCGACCGGGCAGGGGAGAGGGGGGGGAACAGAGCGAGCTGTCGAGCTGGACGGGGAGCGCGGAGCAAACCCAAACGTCAGAGCACGCCGACGCAGGACGGAGGGGCAGGCCAGAGGAGCCGGAGGAGACGAGTGCCCACAGCTCGGCGAGGCGAGGAGCCCGGAGGGAGCGGGACGGAGAGCGTGCCGCACGAGCGCACTGCGGCCTCGGCCGAGCCAGCACGCCAGAGGGGGGCAGCGCCGATTCCCGTCGCGGGTCGCAGCCGTGCCATCGCACTCGAGCGAGGCTCGAGGGCCACGCCATCGCCCACGAGGGGGGGAGGAGGGCGGAGGTGGGAGAACGGAGGCAGAGAGTCCACACCGCAGAACTTCGCTTCGGCCGAGCACCAAGGGACAGTACAGGAACGTGCGCCCCCCTCACCCTGACCAGGCGATATGGGCAGAACAGAGCAGGGCGTGGACAGGGCTTGACAGGATCGGATAACACGCGTACGAACCAATCTGTAACAACACAGGTTGATGTCAACGTAGGACGCGGTAGGATGGGGCACGATCAAGTAGGATCTGGTGGGCTCGGAAAGGAATTCGTTGCGAAAAGTACTGTAAGGGAAAGACGATGGCGAGAGATAGGGTAGAGAGTACGAGAGGATACGGTAACACACCTATGATGGTATGCGATGAGGACGCTGTGGGATTCGAGACGATCCGCCTCTGCGCTTTCGGCGCAGTAGGCGTACGTCTAGTCCACCGCTCGTTTTGTCAAGAAGCCGACTGACAACGAATGGTATGTTGGAGCTGGATCACAGCCTGAGGCTGACGATGGAAACTCCACCGCGGTGGCACGTCCACAGTCCGATCCACTGCACCTAAGATACATCAGCCTGCCGTCCCGAAATAGGCGGGACTTCATCCGTCTGCACCTCGACGGTAGTGTTACATGCAAGCCAGGCAGCGGGGGTGGCAGAACCGCCCGCGCTCGTGCCCCTCCGCCTCACGGGTGAGATCGTGCGAAAAGCAAGCCGCCAAGCAAAGAATCGGTAAAAGACGAGGCTGTCCTGCCACTCGCGTCCCCGGCATCAACACGTGCCGAAATCACGGGCTCGGGCTCCGCACTCGGACCGGAATAGGCATCGTTTTGGGGCTGCGCACTCGAAGCGGACTCAGCGCTTGAGTCCGAGTCAGCTCCGTATACTGAAGCACAGAATCTACATCGAAGACATCGAAGTTCAAGGGGTCGATACCTGGTAGTGCTGATGCACTCAGCTTGGCACTCGAAGGTAATTCCTGAAGCACGGCCTCCGTGGACAGCACGGTGGCGATCACGCGTGCCAGCTGCCGCACGTCACCGTTGGCGTCGACGAGGGCCTTACCAGTGGCCTCAACAATGGCTTGCACCGAATGGCGTGCCGTGGGAACCTTCCCACGCAGTCGTTGTGCTAACATGGCCAAGCACGACAACGCTTGAACACGTATCTTTGGATGGCGGTTTGAGGCCGCCGCCAGCGCAGGCGTCAACACCTTCGCCTCGCTGGCATGCTGGCAGACCTCCCTGAGTGTTGCCTCCGCCTCGTCGGAGATAAACACGTTCGTGTCCGCCCCACGCTTGAGCACGACAGGAAGAAACGCGTCCAGGTACTGGTCCAGCCTCTTGCCGAGTGTGGCGAAGAGCTCGCCCATGCACCGTAGAGCATTCTTCGCCAGGGACGAACGGAGGGACTCCACCAGGGATGCGATCGATCCCACGAGCTTGCGAATCTGGCCGCTAGAAGCTAGAACGCGAGGCGCGAAGCGGGCGATCCTGCGGGCATCGTCGATGGCTCCAAACTGGAGTGACCAGTCGTCGCTCGCCGACAGGCGCCTGAGCACGTCGCTCAGGAAGTCCTCGCCCTCCTGCGCGGGAGCGAGCGGCTGCAGCTCCTCGTGGGCCAGGTACTGGGTGCCCTCGCCGGCGGATTCGTCTCGGCGGACCACTGTGCCCTTCGCGCCTGCGCTGGACCGGGGAGACGTAAGACTGGGGTTCGGGGGACTCGGGTTGGCCCGAGGGGGCCGTCGAGAAAAGTGGCGAGACCAAGTCTGCAATTGGACGCGAGCTCCCGCTGCCGACATGCCAGGAAAACTGGACCGTCAAACTCCAGGACAGGCCCGTCAAAATGCGTCGGCCGACCCGAGTCCTGGCGGACTCGTAGAGGAACCAACAACGCCATGAACGCAAACTTTTGGAGGTCCGCGCGGATTCCTTGGATCTGCGCTGGTCCCCCCTCCCTGGCGCGCGGAGCGCGCCAGAGGCGGCGCCCGGAGGCGCCGCCAGGCGCCGCCAGGGGAGGGGGCCCAATGCGGATCCAAGACATCCGCGCGAAGCGCCAAAAGCTTATGATCATGGCGTTGTTTCTCCTTCGAGCTCGATTCGGGTGACCGAAAAGGGGGTCCAGCGACAAAAGGGTGGTGCAACAGATTTGGGGCAATTGTACTGCACATATACTGCACCGGAGAGTTGGATCGCATTGTATGGCAAGGAGTGCCTTGCAGGTGAACGTCCAGCACTACATGTGCGCCCCGGCATGTATGGCACGCCCCGGATGTGTTGCACCCCCCCCAAAAAAAACTGTTGCACCAACTCTGCTGCACCACCCCCTTCTCCTCCTCCTCCCCCTCCTCCCCCCCTTCCCCCCCTCCCCTCCCCCCCCTCCTCCGCCTCCTCCTCCTCCTCCTCCCCTGGTCTTACTTCTCTCTCTCCTCCTCCGCCCCTCCTCCTCCTCCTCCTCCTCCTCCTCCTCCTCCTCCTCCTCCTCCTCCTCCCCCTCCTCCTCCGCCTCCTCCTCCTCCTCCTTCTCCTCCTGGTCCTCCTCCTCCTCCTCCTCCTCCTCCTCCTCCTTTGTCGCTGGCCCCCCTGTCGGGCCAACCCGGCTCGAGCCCCACGCCTCCCCGGCTGGAGGACGCCGAGCTCTCCGACGGGCAGCTCGCCGGCGATGCCGCCGCAGCGCGGGCCCGCGCCGCGGGCAGCGGCGCAAACGGCTGGCCGTGAGGGCCGGCTGCACGCCAGAGCGACCCATAGGCACGAGTGGCCTTGATCGGAGAAGAAGACGAATCATACGCATTAGAAGCAGGCTAATACGACGATCATGATCATTTATAAAAAACAAAATCAATAACAATGATAGTGATGATAGTGATGGTGATGATGATGATGATGATGATGATGATGATGATGATGATGATGATGATGATGATGATGATGATGATGATCATGATAATAATGACGATGATGATGATGATGATGATGATGATGATGATGATGATGATGATGATGATACAAAAACGCCATACACATAAACTTTTGGCGCTCCGCGCGGATTTCTTGGATCTGCGCTGGACCGCCCTCCCTGGCGCGCGGGCGCGAGTGACCTTTAGTGCGCGGCCTTCCTAAGCCCCCCTCGCGCTGTGGACAAAAATCACGACGGGAAATTGTCACCCTTTCCCGGCCTCCGGGAGCCCTTACCGGGCCTGCAGGACCGTCAAACATCAGCTCAGGATGAACAACCGGTCCCGGGGAAGGGGTCCAGACTTACGACGGGCCTGCCTGCTACAGGCAGGAAACCAAAACATTGGTGCAACATTGGTGTCGGTTTTGCCACCATGCTTGTTTCGGCGTCTGGTTTCTTTTATGTCTTATTGATGTTTTTTTGCTGCGCCCCCCTCGTCTGCTCAAATGTTGCTTGGTGCGCCGGTTGTTGCGGCGCTTGCCGCGCGCTTAGTGCACGCCGCAGCGTTTCATTGCCGTTTGTTTGCCGCGGCGCTTCCTGCGGCGCCGGCCTGCGACTTCGCCGGCCGCGGGATTCCTTCGAAGCTGCGTGTCGCAAGGTTGTTGCAGCGCTTGTTGCGCATGGCTCCGAGAATGTGGCAAAACATTGGTGCTTTTTTGAAACGGACAGCAACAACAAAGCAACAATGTTTTGCTAAATTGTATGGTGCGTGCGTTTGTTTGGAATGTTTTGTTTGCCTGGTTGTATGCTGTATAATGTTGAATGAGGCGTTGGCGCGCGCGTTGTCGATGCATTGGCACGAGACGTTCATGGTTGCCGCTGCTGTTACTACAACTGTTCATGTTACATCAATCTTACTGTTCAGTGCACTGTTACGTCAATCCGTGGGGCTGCTGCACCGCTGGTTCCAACTGGTTTTAGCCGATTCCTACGTGGTTCCGAGGTTCATTTGGCCCGAGGTGCTTCTTCAGGTCCCCGAGATGCACTTGAGGCTTCTGGCTCCAATGGTTCCAGCCTTCTTTTGCAAAACGATCCATGCGGGTCGCTTAAGAACAGCCGGCTTGCCCGGCGCCAACAGCATGGCCTGGCCTCCGCCGGGGGTCTGCAGAGGAATATCAGTCCCATGTAGAGACCACTATTCCACACGAGCTGCCTTCTCCTCCTCCCCCTCATCATCATCATTCTCTCCTACTCTTCCTCGTCCTCCTCCTCTTCCTCATCATCCCCCTCGTTCTTCTCTTCGCTGGTCTTAATGTCCTCCTCCTTCTCCTCCTCCTGATCCTCTACCCCATCCTCCTCCTGCTCCTCCCCCTCCTCTTCTTACCTCCTACTCCTCATTTTCCTCGTCCTCCCCCCTCCCCGTGCTCTTTCTAATCCTCCTCCCCCTCCTCCTCCTCCTCCTCCTCCTCCTCCTCCTCCTCCTACCTCTTCCTCCTCCCTCTCGTCCTCGTCCTCCTCCTCATTCTACTCCTCGTCCTCATCCTTCCTCTCCTGATTATCCTCCCGCTCCTGCACCCCCTTGTGCAACATGAGCTGATAGTGATGGAATGCTGCCAGTGGGCATTGCGATCGCGGAAGCGAGCAACCAACACAAGCAAGCAAACAACACCAAAACAGCTGTGTGTCGTCAAACTGCAGGGGGTACAACCATAAACAACAACAACAACAACAACAATGGTTTGACACATTGTCGGGGCATGGAAAAAGCAACCAAACAGCACAACAGCAGCAATGCTTTGCCCATCGACAGGGAATGCAACAACCAAATGAACAAGCAAACAGCAACAAAACAACAATGCGTTGCCAAACCACAGGGGGGCAGCAACAGCACAAACAACAAGGGGACTTCAACAAACAATAGTGTTTTGGGCAAGGGGCGGGGGCAGCACCATCGGACGTAAGAACGAAGCAACAACGGGGACCAACAACAAACAATGATGTGCTGAGCAACGCGTCGCGTCAAACCGCCGCCCCAACATGGGCAAAGGACGTCCCGCACAACAAAGAAACGCAAAACGTTTTGCAAAACATTGATGCTTCTTTGCCGTTCCAGACAAAATTTGAACATTTCCAAAGTGCGCGGCAACAGAAATGACAACCCCCAAACGACCGCGCGTTGCACTGGACCCCCCCGCTTGCCGGCCCGCCCCCCCGCGCCCCTCGCCCATCGCCCCTCCATCCTCCTCGTCCTCCTTTTCCTCCTCCTCCTCCTTTTTCCTCCTCCTCCTTCTCCTCGCATCTTCTCCTCCTCCTCCACCTCCCCCCCATCTCCGTCTCCTCCACGCGCCCTCCCCCTCCTCCTCCACCTCCTCTTCCCTTCCCCTCCTCCCTGATCCTTCCTCTCTCCTATCCGCCTCCTTTCTCCCTTGTCTTCATCCTCCTCCTTCCCCGCCTCATGTTCGTCGTCATCATTATCCTCTCCTCCTCATTTTCCCGCGTGTCCTCCTCCTCCTCCTCCTCCACATCCTCCCTCCCGTCATCCTACCCTTCCCTTTCCTCCTGCCCCTCCCCCTCATCCTCCTTCTCCTCCTCTTCCCCCTGACGCTCCGACTAATCCTTCTCTTCCTCCTCCTCCTCTTCCTCCTCCTCCTCCTCCTCCCATTCCTCCTCCTGCTCCTGGTCCTCCTCCTCCTCTTCATCCTCCTCCTCCTCTTCCTGATCCTCCCATTGGTTCTCCTCTTCCTTCTGCTCCTGCCACTGCTCCTCCTTCTCGTCTGCCCCTCCCCTTCATTTTCCCCCATGTTTTCCTTTCTCTCCTCCTACTCGTCCTGCTACCCCTATCCTCATCCTCTTTCGCCTCCTTTTCCCCCCCATCCCCCTCCTCCTCCACCTCCTCGCTGTCGCCCTCCCCCCATCGCCCCTCTCCTCGCCATAACTTTCATCATTCCCATTATTTTCGTTGTCCTCAACATCAATTTCATCCTCATTCTCATCCCCCCACCCGCCGCCACCTCCACCACCACCACCTCTTCCGCTCCCTCCTGCTCCGCTTGCTCCTCCCATCTTGCTCATGATGCTCCTGTAAGCCCCGCCTGCTCTACCATTGGCCTGCGTCCTACACGGGGGAGAGTGCAAGGGGCAAGCTACGTCCGCTTTTCCATATCTGAAGTCGAACTCCTCCCAACCATCCCCTCCAATTGCACTCGCATTATTATCCAATTGCGCAGCGGCGCATATCAGCCGCTTTGGCAGCACTATTGCAGCTTGCCCGGGGCATGCCTGCCATAGGCATGAGGCCAACCTGATCGTTACAGATTCGTCATTGGATGGTTTGGGTTGTGGCCGCATGGGGTCGCTTCTCGGCGTGGCGAGACAGCGTGCGACAGTATTGTTTTGCGTGACGGTCGCACGCGGGCGCGCGGGAGTGATCGGGGCGACCATACAACGAAACATAACATAATCGCACACAATTGGCGACACCAAAAATTTAAGCAAAACATTAATGTTTTTGAGCCAATGGCGGCGGCAAGGAAACGGCAAAAAAACACCAATGTTTTGACGCGCGCCGGAAACACAAAAAAAACGTTTTGCTCAAAAGCGCCCCTCCCCATGAAGCAGTTTTGTGGACCCGCAGAACGGCTGCAACAAGCGATGCGACAACGGCTGCGACAAGCCATGCGGCGCCGAACCGGAAAAGTGCAATTCTGCATGATATCGGGGAAACGAGAAAACGGCAAAAATGCTGCAATCGTAACGACAAGCAGGCCATGGGCGCGCATCAATGTTGCGGGGACCTCGCGATAATCGGCACGGGGGCATACGCCAACCAAAAAAACAACCCAACAGCAAAACTGCAACAATGTCGTTGATGCGATGTCTGTAGCAGGCAGGCCCGTGCTAAGTCCAGACCTCTGGGGGTCGACGTTGCAAAGGAAATTACGACGTCGGGGGCCTGGGTACGGCTGGACCTAGGACAGAAGAACATCCTTCAAGAACATAAAACCCTCTGACACCAAACCGAAGAACATTCGAGGGTGCCCTCCCCCAGGATGCACAAAGACATGCAACGTATACGAAGAACACGAGGGTACCCTCCCCGAACCGAACTCGATCTTGTGCCTCGGTCCGACCGTATGGGGGCCCCCAGGGGACACCAGCAGGCGCGCAGGCTGCTGCGACCGCAGCGCACTTCGGCGACATCGGGGAGCCCCAGGGTGGGGCCCGCGCCGGAGGACCCTCTGAGCGACGATCAAAAACGGGCTTTACTGAAGGGGCCCCAGGACACACAAATAAATACACACAAATAAAAAGATTCCCCATATTTTCCTATATTTTCTGGGTTTTTGTCTTCCCCCCCACTTCCCATATTTTCGCATATTTTCCTGGGGATCGACGATTAATTGTGTCTGTGTGTTTTTTCCCCTCCTGATTTACGCGAGATGACGTAGCAACCTTACGCGGCGGCTTACGCGGGCCGCCCGCGCGGCACAGGGCGCATACGCACGACCTTGCGCGAACAACCTGCGCTCCCATGAAGAAGACGATCCCGCTTGTTTTGCGTCGCCCATCTGGCGCAAGGCCGGCTGGCGCGAAAAGTTTATGTTCATAGCGTTTTTCCTTCTTCGACTTTAGTGCGCGGCCTCTGGGGGTGCCCCCAGGGGACACCACCAGGCGCGCAGGCTGCTACGATCGCAGCGCGTTCGGCGACATCGGCGGGCCCCATGTGGGCCTGCGCCGAAGGTCCATCTGCTCAGCAAGGACCGACCGTCCCGGCACTCCTATAGGCCTACCACGACATGTTCTAAGAACCCCCAAAATGCTCCAATCACAAAAACCATGATCTTAGAGCATAAGCCCGATGTGTTAAACCAAGACGGTCCCAGCCGGAAGCGTTCTGAGAACATGTCGGTGGAAGCCACAAACGGTCCTCAGCACATCCTTTGGTAGGCCCAAAGGCACGCCAGAACGCCTCGCCACTGCTCGAATCCGGCGCACGGGCCACGCTCGACGTGCAGCCCGAGATGGCCCGCCCCGCGCGCGCCGCCCCCGCTCGGCGACGCGCCGGGCTGCGCGCCGGCAGGGTGCGGCCGCTGGCGATCGGCCGCGCGCGGGGCGCCGGCAGGGGCGGGCGCCGCGGCGCTCGGCGGGCACGGCGCCGCCAGCGGCGCGGCAGGCTCACCTCTGAGGGGGCCCAGGGACACACCAACGAGCACACACCAATCCAGGGATTCCCCCGATGTTCCACACATCTTCGGGGTTTTCGGCTCACCCCCTCCCCCACTTCCCCTACTTTCCCATCTTTTCCTGGGGGTCGACGATCCATGGTGTCTGTGTGTTTGTGTTGTGCCCTCCTGGACCTCGGCGGCGCGCAGAGGGGGTCTCGCCATCGCTCGGACGGCCGTTCCCCGTGCATGTTTCGATTTCGCGCGTGCATGTTTCGCAAGGTGGTCAAGGGTGCTCCTCGATGGCCCTCGCCGCGAAAGAATGTAGAGGTCTGGGCGATGCCGAGGGGTAGGGGGAGAGGGGAAGGCTTCTCAGACGCACTCCCGCTCCTCAGGAGGCGCCGGCCTCGTCTACAGATGCAGGGCCGGCGCCTTCCAAGAAGCAGCCTCCTTCAGAGAAGCCTTCCCCCTGCCCCTGCCACCCTCTGCACGTGGCCGCTTACCTGTCGGGGCCAAAGGGGGGGCCAGGGACGCATTGAAATGAGAAGGGGCGCCATGGAATCTGGGGGAGTCTCATGGCTCACGCCATGATGCCCACCCCCCCTAGTCATCACCCCCCTCTTTGCCGCCCCCGAACCTGGGCGACAATCAGAAACGGGCCTTGCGCACGATGACATACCGACCCGACGCCGCAGCTCACGCGGGCCGCCAGCGCGGCACGCCACGTCGGAGAGCGAGGGCACTCACGCGCGACCTCACGCGGGCAACTCGCGCGCCTATGTCGGTGAAGACGACCCCGTTTTCTTCCGTCGCTCACCTCGTTCCTCCCTCCTCCTCCTGCACCTCCTCCTCCTCCTCCTCCTCCTCCTCCTCCTCCTCCCCCTCTCCCTCCTTCCTCCTCCTCTCTCCTCCCACTCCTCCTCCTTCCTCCTCCTCCTCCTCCTCCTCTCTCTCCTCCTCCTCCTCCTTCCTTCCTCATCCTCCCTCCTCCTCTTCCCCCTCCTCCTCCCCCTCCTCCTCCTCCTTCTCCTCCTGAATCCGTTCTCAGATGGTCCAGGGGTCCCTGGGAGGGCCCCAGGGGGCCCCCCAAAAACGTCGAAAGCAACCTCAGGGCCCATTTTTCTCAGGACCCGCTTCGGGGACCTACAGTGGAGGCCCGTCCACAAGAAACCTTCCACAAGAAACCCAACCCCGAGACCCCAGGGCGCACATTGATTCTTGGAATGGGAACGTTACGTACTCCATCGCAAAACCCTCGAAA